ATGCCATTGTTGCAGTCACGACGGCGGTAACTGCTGCCTGGAACATGGCAGGATCAAACTGAGGAGGTGGCGGGTGGCGGAGTGTCATGGTCCTTCTGATGGGTCTTCTTCGGGGAGGCATCTTGTTCTAGAACAATCAGAGAAGAAGAGGCTGATAAGTCCCCTGAATTTAAATCAAGATATATGAAACGATATATCTCATTCTGAAAGTTAAAGTGTTCTACGAAGCGATATATAAGGAGCGTTACTATTGCAAGAAATATCGCTAAGAAATATGTAGCAACACTTGGAATGAATCTCTTGCTGTATTTGGCTCTAGCTAAAATACTCCTATAGTATTTTAAGTTGTATGCTTTGTTCTACCGATATCTGATGTATATATACTTGGCAAGTTTTAGGCTTGTTGCAACACCACAGTCACTCCCAAGCACATGTTGGTCATGTCTCGAGTAAATATAGTTGATCAGGCTATATTGACCCTGCACATGATTACATAACTGCCCAGGTTTAACCACAGTGTCCAACATCCAAATACTTTTGTTTTGTTCTACCTATGAATCTGGTTCTGTTAAGTATGTATATTTGTATACTTCCTATATATTACTTATATTTTGAAAATATACTTTTAGTTTCAGAGTGCTACAGCCCCTTCGTGTTTATAGTTGTATACCATGTAAGGTTCGGTATACTTATTTCACTATAAACAAGAGCTCTGATACCAATCTGTCACACCCCCAAACCGGAACGGCGGAACGTTCGGGGGTGGATGACGTCATGTATAGTATCACAACAATTGTAGCATAACAATCATAGTAAACACAACCATTACATTGAATACACGAAAAGGGTTTACATCTGCTTAATTCTTATTTCTAAACATCAAAAGTATAACAAAATTTAAAAGACGTGATTTTATATGCTCCGTCTTCTCAAAACTCCAGGAGGTACCTGTCTACTGATTTCCTGAGAATACAAGCAGTTTTGAAAGAGTATCAGCATAAAGCTGGTGAGTTCATAAGCGATGTTTTGTAGTGAAAACTTGTTAATGAATCTTGTAAAATGTTCGTATGTTTCCAAGAAAATCCAATATTTTCTTTAGTAAAAGCATGATATTACCAGTTCCTTCTATGAATGTTTATTACTGTATCCTGTTCTGTTTGAAAACCCTGGCTACCACCAGTATGTATAGTATGTTCTGTTTGAAAACCCTGGCTGCCACCAGTATGTAAAGTAGCCTTATCATTTAAATAAAACCGTGTATGGTATCTCTGAAATCCTCCAAAGTAATGCATAATAGTTTTATTAATTAAAATAAACCTAATGAAGAATGAAATCCCGTAAACAAAGGTTAGTTTATACTTATTGTGAGTCGTATAACCATGCTTGATATGACATAGAGACCTTTACAACGTTCTTCAAGTGTTGGTTAAATGACATTTGTCACCCCAGACATGCCTGCCTGACTGTAGCTAGCAGTTCAGGTGTGGGATTGTCAAATCCCGAATAGATCTAATTCAGTACTAGGATAGGATTTAATTCAGTACCCTAAGGGTACAGTTTTGAAGTAGAGCCTCATAATGTTGTACAATCTAGTTTACATGTAATTCTAAAGTGTTTTCTTGTATTAGAATCCGTTGGATGCGGTATACGGTAATAATTATACTTAAATAATTATTAAATGCCATGCCCTTGTAGTAAAGAATACCATAAACTAAATCTGCCATAGTTTATATGTTTAGTAATGAATAAATCTGAACTCGTAAAAGTTATGTATTGAAAACCCCAAACTATACCTATTATAGTTTGCATGTACAGTGTAGTTGATGTGAATATTGAATCTGAAAAACTATGCAATTTTGGTTGAATTGTTGAAAACGTCCCTTATGCTCAACATAGTACAAAAGGGATAAGATATCTAAATATATGAAATTCGTTGTCTGAACCAATTGCATGAGTTTTATACTTGTTAAAAATCCTTTTGTTTTAGTTCACAAAAGCATTTGTGTTTGGCTTGTATTCCCCCCTGAAAACGTTTAAAAATCGTAAAAGCGTAGGGGTATGAACTCATTGTTGTTGTGTGAAAACGTCGACTGTAAATGAAGATCCTCGAGTTGTTGTACGTGGCACTTAACGGAATCCTAATATCAAATAAATACATATATGTATCTAAATTAGCGATTACGTTAGATAAAGTGTTAGAAAAAAACACTTGTGTTCGGTTAAGGGATGTACCGGGACTTGATTGAATCGATGGAACGGGTTTTTCACCACTTAGGAGGCGTGTACGGCCGTGAACAAGGGTTTACGGCCGTGAAGGGTGGTTTACGGTCGACAGACAGTTTACGGCCGTGAACAGGGTTTACGGCCGTGAACTGGGGTTTACGGCCTTTGAAGACTCGATGAGTATACGGTCGTAAACTCAAGAACAGAGTTTACGGCCTTTGAAGATATGAAGTGTGTACGGCCGTAAACTCAAGAACACAGATGCTGATTTCGACGTGCAACGTGCTCTAGATGCTCCGAAATGACTCCAAATGGTGCTTCTCGATGATTTTCCGGAAAAATAAAGGTGTTTTAGGAGTTTACGGTCAAGAGTTTTAGAGGTAGGAGGAGAGAGTTTGCGGCCAAGAAGGTCAGAATGAGGGTGGGGGTCTCATATATATAGGGGTCTTCGTGGTCGGTGGTGGGGGGTCCACCCTTTTGCTGGCCGTAAACGGGTGTACGGCCGTAAACTCACTTAGGCCGAAATTTGTTTGATTTTTCGAGATATTCGGGTTTTCGCGCGATTTTGGTTCCGACTCGTATATAAATTTAATTATATAAAACTAGATGATTTTCTAAACCAAGAAGTTTGACGGAAAAATTAATAAAATTCAAATTTTATTAACGGAAATTGCATAACGGAAGCGGAAAAAGTTTTGGGTTGTCACAACAATTAACTTAAATCACAAACAACTAATATCTTATAAACATCAAATCACTATTAATTAACAAACATCTTAAAATTGTCAAATTTCACAATTTTCCAAAGTTAAACATAACAAAAAATCAACATTTTTGTCTTCTAGAATTTTATCATTCTTTCATCCATGAAACTTATCTTATTTATAAGATTTAATATATTAACAATTAATAAAAAAATTGTATATAATATATGCGGTGTGGTGCGGTTTCTTTGCGGTTTTTAAAAACTAATAACCGCACCGTACCGCAAATTTGCGGTTTTTGAAAAACAGAAAACTTCACCATCGGTTTTTATTGCGGTTGCGGTTTATGCGGTTAATTTTAGTTGCGGTGCGGTTTTGCTCACCCCTAGTCATAGGTACGGAACCTCGGGAAGAGCAGTTGGGTTGAGGCGACAGGACAACATACCTAGGGCAATCCAGTCCGATGACTGGGAGCAGTATGCATTTTTGTATATGTTTTGTGGTGTGTGATATTTTTTTTTTTTGGGATGGGGGGTGGGGGGGACGATTCACTTAGATTTGTGTTTACTCAGTTGTTTATGTTTTTCAAGTTCTACCGGCATTTGTGAAGGCGAAGGCGCGATTGTACACACTCATCCGCAACATTGAGGATTTCTCGTCTATTATATTACTCTGATTTTTAATAAATGTAATTTTGAACAAATGGTTTTCTTAACATGGGTTTTATAATAAATGTAATTTTGAACAAAGGAACTACTGATCACTGTGAGTTCCTTGTCTAACAACTTCTTGTCGTGAGGACAACACATGCGTCCTTGAAGACACAAACCTGGCGGTAACTTGCTCTGCACTTGCGGTATGACCAATCCTTGAATTCTACTTGACCATGAAGGAATCCGACAGATTCTTGAGAAACGTCACGGGAAAACTTCCAAACCACGATCACCTCGATGGTAGTTTACTTTCCTTCTCTTATGCAGCAATAACCCGAAACACAAATCCCGCATACTTGAATCACAGATTCCTCTGACTTGTCATACCGAGACCATAACAATCGAACGAACAATAATGCTCCAAACAAACACCTAGTTCTCCCCCACTTAGGGTTCAGACCACTGCCGACTGATGTCTAAAAACAACAAGGCCTCATGTCGGCTCATCCAAGTACATGCCAACCTTGACTCTCGAAGTGCATAACACAACATAAGATGATCCCACGAACAATAACCAGCCAATCTCAAGGAAACTCTGGATCTCGGATGGACACCTCGGAACTTCCCACAACATTACAGCCTCGAACCCAGTGAAGATGACCATAATACCACTTAATTGATAAGGCACCCCGAGAACTGAACGTTGCGCAAACGAAACTTATACGTAAAGAAATGACCCGCGGAGTCACCTCCTCTAAACATGAAGAATCCCTTTGCGTCCTTCCACCGCTTGTCGTCTCGGTTGCGGCTCCCTGAAGCCACTGAGCGAAATCAGAAATCTTGAATTCTTTAATCCTTCGTTGTCTGGCCGTGCACCAGTTCCCTATTCCTCCCGCCGGAACTCTGATCCGAGGTTTGGAATCAAATTTTCGATCTACAAAGGAGACACCCAATCCCCTCGAAATTGAGTCAAAAGCTCGACTCGTGACTGTTCTCCACTCCGGAAACATTAATGGCGACTACACCAAAAGAGGCAACATAAGAATTAGCACCGACACTGGGGTGCTTGGACATTAGGGAGATATCCGCACGTCCAGCTAGATGTATCCTGACGTTCCGGATCTCGTCCTAATGTCCACCTCGCCCATGTTGATGTCGACCCTATAGCCCAAATGTCTTGTAGTGATAAGATTTCTTTTGGTTGTAGTTGCTTTCTCTGTTTCTCATTAGACTAGCTGTGAAGATGTGGAAGAGAGAACCTCTTGGGAGGATCGACCTTGAAACATATGTAAGTATTTTGTTATTAACAGTATTTTGTGATTAACAGAAGGGTATGAAGACTATATAAAAAATTTCATCTTTATTATTGATTAATAGCTACAAAGAATATGAATAACAAATATAATTCTGAAGCTTAAATAGCACTAAATACATAGAAGAATATATACGTAGGTCCAGCGTATCAGTGTATAACAGAAAACTTCTTATGCCACTTTGCATTCCGGAGGAAACCCTTGAGGAAACCTCTTGGAATCTGAGCAGTAGTTGTATATCATGTAATTCTTCTGCACCCATTGTAACCTTTCCTGCTTTGTGTTATCCAACTCCTCCGATAGCCATGCCTGATTGCCACCGGAAGATGCAGAACTACCACAAGACGATTTCCCAGAAGACACCACACAAGCATCGGCCCTAAAGTTTCTGTAGGATGCCGTGAACGGGGCTTGACTCCAGTCGGTTTTAACCAACCCACCCCTGGTCGCCCAATCATCAGCATTCCATAAGCTAGAGTGTATTCTCATGGGCTGATTTTTTGGAAACGGAACTCCAATAGATTCGGAATTCTTGAACTCTCTAATGGGTGTTCCATCAACAGAAAATCTAGAAATGGACAAAGGAAGATCAGTATTTGACATGGGTCATTGTATGTAGAAATTATATAAAACTTAAGATGATACTTACATGATTCGTTGAGGGTTCCAAAGGATGGAATAAGTGTGGAAATCAGCAGTTGGATCGAACCACAGGTAGAATTGCTGTTCTCTGTTGCCTTTGCCTTGACTGAATACATTTGTATGAAGAATATAGGGATCACCACTCAAGTTACCCAGGAACTCAAAGTCGATCTCATCCCAGTTCGATCCTTTTGAAGACAACTGCAAATACAATCAAAACATAATTAATATTCATATTCAGTAAACTATTTCCCAGCCTAGAAAGTATGAAAGATAGCAAGAAACTTACATAGTAGGCAGTGACTGTGCCTGCGGAGTTACCGGGAACCAGCTTCAGCTGCATATCAATCTTGCCAAACAGATACTCGTTTCTTGACTCAAAGCCTGAGCCAGATGATTTATCGAGGGAAAGGGTTAAGAGTTCGCCATTTAGTATTTTACCTCGGCCATCACCCCAAGTGATATCAAACTCATTGTTGAAATCCGCTGAGACTATTGAAATGCTCCCTAGAAATATGAAAATCAGAAGGAAAGTCGAAAGCTTTGAGGTAAAAGAGAAAGACATTTTATGCAGAGGAATTGCTTGTTCATAAGTTGAAGATAAGATGCACGAATTCTATTGTATTTATAGGGTGTGTGTTTTGGAGATTGAAGGAAGGTGAGGGCGAAGGTGAGAGTAGGAGGAGTATTTAGTGAAGTTAGGTTGATGAGGAGGTTTTGATCATAAAACAGCTGGTATTAGCGTGTAGCGATCATATCTATAAAGTGTTAGTGAAAAAGACAAGACTATATATATATATATATATATATATTATATATATATATATATATATATATATATATATATATATATATTCAGTTATAATTAATGATTTTTTTTAGAAAATGAACATAATAAAAGTTTATTTTAATCCAATTATAATAAATAATATATAAATTTTTAATTATATATAAGAAATGATATTATAATTTTAAAAGAATCATGAAATATTATCAAATTAAAATGATTCGTAAATAATTTTTTTTTTTTTATACACAAAAATTTATGTTTTATAAAAATATAGGATATAACATTTTAAAACATATTTTGTTGTTAATGAAAAAAAAGTATTGTGGACTATCAACTCTCTTTATAAAAAAGACATGTGTGTTTTATTAAATAAAGACTATCCTTTTTTTTTCCATTACATTATAACGAACACCGTCCTTCGATTTCAAAACTACGCAATCTCCATGATTACTAGATAAAAGAAATTGGTAACCAAAAGTCTAACAACTTACAAGCTTTTGGAGAACAAATAGGGTTTGTATAACTCCACCACCCGTAGCACAAAGTTGATCTTTCTTTTAAGATCCGAATAGGTTCCACTAAAAGCATGACATAACGCCGAATTCACCACTTGCAAACCCTGAAAATGAACATTAATGATGTTATTATTAAACGGACTCGAATAAGTATGACTAAAGGAGGATTAAGACAAAGCCAAACCTGTAGTGGAAGCAAGTAACGAAGATTAAAGTATCTACGAAAGCTATCCATTGAGCTCAACACTTTAACCTCGCTAACAATAACTGGTGTCCCATCTTTGTTAATCCATGGATTCTTGGAAAAATAATTATACCCACTTTTTTGAATTCCTTTATACTTCAAAGGATTTGATACGGAAGATCCAACATGATAGATTGTTTCACCAGGTTGGTTTGCATGAGCTGCCATTGTCGCAATCATAGCATTCGCCACCATGTCTGCTGGTATCTGTTATCCAATATTTTCAACATTAGCAAAATTAAAAGATATATATATATATATATATATATATATATATATATATATATATATATATATTCATGATGGAACTACATTAACTAATTATGCATCAAAGGATAGCTAGCGAGAGCAAAATAAATATGAACTGAACTTGTTTAAAGAACCTACCACATCGATTGTTGATTCAGGATCGCCGAGGAAACATGCTAACCTTCCTTTGCCATAGCCGACTGCCAAGCTGTCGATTGTCCTGTAATTTTCAAATACATAAATCTTTTTAATTGAGTTTATAAAGTAAACTTGAATTTTCTTTTTGTCCTTTATAAAGAAAGAAAGTAAAACTTCCATGAATTCATTCCTAAACGGTTTTACATTAATAATGAGGAACTACCTTATGCCTTCGATCCAACCAGGAAAGGGTTCTTTATACGTGCTAAGGATGATGGTTGGGCGAAGAATGACCAAAGGCATATCTCCTTTCAAATGCCCAAGAACCATTTCTCCTAATGCCTTCGTAAAAACATACGTATTTGGCCAACCAAATTTGTTTGCCCTATAATTAAATCAAAACAAAAAATAAAAGGTTTATAAATATATTTAAATAGATATATATTAGTAATTAATACTTGGCTGTACCTAAAAACGAAATAATATACTTAAGTACTGGAAATGAGAATGTATGTTTGTTTTGAATATAATACATAGTGAAATAAAATTAATAATCAGAATAAAAATAATAAAGTAAGTGATTAATAAAAAATGATGGTGAATATATAGAACCATTTTTTTTACCTTTCAATGCCCAAATCTTTCATGGCTAATGTAATAGATTTATCTGTAGATGTTTCATCAGCGCTAAGTTCTTTAAGTTTTTCTTCGATAATCTTCTTCTCCACATTGATGTCTAGTCCATCTACACCATTAAGCGCATCTCCCAAACGATATGGAGATTCAAGTATAAGCCCAGGCGTCTCGCCAGAAACATAAGCTGAATGAACGTAATTTTAATTTAATCAAGTCTGTGTTGATTAATTGGAAAAATAAAATAACAAAATAAAATTACAAAAGTGTAGATATATATGAGTTGTTTTTTATTTAAAAAATATCATTACTGACGGATGTTTTGGTCAAGACGCGTTTTAAAAATATTGTTTTTGCATGGAGAATTTCTTTGTGGCTATTCAACCGCCTCGATGAAATTATAGAATGCATAAGCTATACGCTACTTATGTGAGTCGATGTCAATCAAAAACAAAAATTTTGGTTAGAAGGTAAAACGTTTTTTTTTTCTATATATTTTTTAGCGAAAAAAAAAATGAATCATTTATTGATTTATTTGTAAGATGATTCACAAAAAAAAAAATTATGAAAAAACATCTTCATGATTTATTTTTAAGTAAATTACGAAAAAATTCACTTTTATGACAATTTTAGTAAATAACAACAAAATTATTGTATAAATGAATCATCGAGATGTTTTTTTTTGAGAATTTTTTTTATGAATCATGTTATTTTTTATTCATCTAGTGATTTATTTATTTGTTCGTCAAAAAAATATGTAGAAAAAAAACTTTTTACCTTCCTACCAAAAAAAAATTTCTTACCAGATCTATATCCTACCTTATGTATCGTTATAGTTTTATCTACAGCTAACATTTAGTCGGACGTTCATGCGTAGAACTTTTTTTTGTGAAGTAGGTCAAAGAATTATAAAAATAAATTTTTGATCCAAACAATTATATATAACAGAAGCAAAAAAAAATGTTTAAAAATGTATTTTGTTTGATACAATACTACAAATAACAATTAATGAAAAAAAATTAATAATGATAATAAAATAATATGAATAAAAACTAACATTATAAAAAAAATATGTTTTTTACAAAAAAACATAACTTAAAATATAAGAGTAAATTACACGAATGGTCCCTATGGTTTAAGGTAATTTGCGTGTTTGGTCTCTAACTTATTTTTTTAACTCGGAAGGTCTCTGCTGATTGTTTTTGTTACACGCTTGGTCCGTGTCTTACCTAAACATACTATTTTGACCTTGATTTTTTAACTTATTTAAATAATCACACCCCCAACCCCACCCATCTCACCTTACCTTACCTACACCACCATTTTTCCCTATTTAAATAATAGTTTTTTTAGGTAAGACAGGTACCAAACGTGTAATAAAAACAAACACTAGGGACCAAACACATAACAAAAACAAACAGTATGGACCTTCCGGGTTAAAAAAATAAGTTAGGGACGAAAACAAATATTAGCAAATAAACATAAAAATGATGATGTAAAAGTAAAAACTTCTAAAAATACATTGTTCATTTTCAAATATAATATATAAATATTGTTTACAAATGATAAATAAATAAATAATAAGAATAATAAGAGTAAATTACACGAACAGTCCCTATGGTATAGGGTAATTTGCGCATTTGGTCCCTAACTTATTTTTTTAACTCGAAAGGTCCCTATTGTTTGTTTTTGCTACGCGCTTGGTCCCTGTCTTACTTAAAAGATTATTTTGCCCTTGATTTTTTAATTTATTTAAATAAACACACCCCCAACCCCACCCTCTCACCTTATCTTACCTACCCCACCATTTTTCCTATTTAAATAATAGTCTTTTTAGATAAGACAGGGACCAAGCGCGTAACAAAAACAAACAGTTCGGATCTTCCGAGTTAAAAAAATAAGTTAGGGACCAAACGCGCAAATTACCCCAAACCATAGGGATCATTCGTGTGATTTACTCGAATAATAATAATAATAATAATAACTAGAAAGGTTACCCCCGCTACGCGGGGGCCAGAAGCTTTCAATGTTGTTTCCGAATTGATAAATATGACAGACATAGAAAGTGCAAGGATGAAAAGTCCGGGCTTTGCCCCGGACAAAAAATGTAAAAGTTTTTACTGCAAGGACCAGAAGTGTGAAAATGGCTAAAGAATTAAAGGGGTAGGAATTAGCAACTTTTTAGAAAAGGGATCAAAGTTGTCAAACCGTTAAAGTTTTGTGGCCAAACTTTAAATATTAAAAGGTTCCAAAAAAGTGTAAAAATATTGATTGTAAGGACCAAAAGTATCAAAATGGGTAAAGAATAATGAGCAAAGTTGCCAAAAACATCCAAATTTAGTATTCCTAACTTCCAACAATTATATAGGGACCAATTCTGCTAAAAAATGGGAAGTTGAATGGAACACAAACAAAAGGACATGAATAAATTAGTTAAAGAAGTACAGGGACCGGATATGTAATTCAGGGGACCAAACCTGGACAAAGTATCCCAACTTTACTATTCTTTTCTTTCACAACTTTAATATATATATATATAATAATAATAAATTATTAGCTGGAGCTTAAATGAATACCCACATGCTACAAGTAGGTTTACACCAAGTAGGGGATTGAATTAGCTTTAGTTCAAACTTCAAAGCAAGAAATATTTCAAAACTAAATGTGTAAGTAAAAATTAAGGTGAAGATAGTAGGATTTCGGGGCGTTGAGGGGGGCAAAGTGGACAGCTGCACAGGACCCAATTTTTTTATTATATATTTTTATTTTAAAATAAAAACTTATAATAATGAAAATGGCCATTTTTTTATGGTTCGTCCTGGGCCTTTAAGGATATTTACTTTCTTAGGACCGGTCCTGGATTTCAACACGCGTGGCTAGTGAAATTTAATAAGCGTGCTTGCCAATTAGACTAGACATAAATTATTAATAGAAAGGCCATATTTTTTTATATATAAAGCATATTTATTAGAAACAAAACCTAACCCGAGGCCCAATTCGTGACATGGGTCATGGACGGTCGCCAACTGTCCCACCCTCAGTCCGGCCTGTATCTCTTACCCATAATACATGTTTTACAACAAATTGATTAAAAAAAAAGGTGCAAACACTAAATCATCTCCGATTCATTACATCTCATAAACTAAAACGAGCGGTTAGTATTAGAATTTGGTAACGAAATATTTACAAATCACCGATGAACCAAAAAGTGTTATGAAAAGGCAACAATTCATTTAAAGTGTTAAAATTATATATAATGACCTACGATCACAAGTTTAACTTGTCAAAATTTGGGTTAATGTTAGAATTGGATAATGAAATATTTAAAATGTTAAAAAAAAAATACATGAACTAAAAATATTATTAAAAGTTAACGAACCATTAAAATGTTCAAAAAAATATTACTATGATCTCTTGTACTAGGTTTGACAGGAGTGTATCTGTGTATGTTAAAAACCACCCCCAAAACGAGGAATATTAGTTCAAAAGAAAAACCTCATAAACCTGGAACTTTTACTCAAAAAAGACCATCAATCCCTTTAAAATTAAGATTAACATAATATATTTTTTTACATCCAATCTGTCATTTGATTATTTGATCTACAACACCGAATTAACTAATTATTGTTTTTCATTGTTCTTTTATTATTAATTTAGTTCATATTTTTTCCTTTTGTCTACATTAAAGTGAATAAAGCATAATTTTTTTTATTATGGTTAGAAAAATATATCGTTTATATATGATTTGAAAGATCAGTATATCGTTTTAGATTCTTTACATTAATACACTTCTAAATGGTTAGACAAACTGACAAAGATTATATTCAACTTTTTGTTTGTATCAATACACTAATAAAAACCCTTTCAAATTACAAGATAGATAAATAAAACTATGTCTTGATAGATGATAAATATTTTTTCTAACTATAACGGTATATGATTTTAATTTTTCAAAGCGTATTTAAACGATATAGTTTTAAATATTTGATTCTTTATTTGGAACAAAAAGAAAAAAAAAATGACTGCTGAATTGCTAAATCGGCTCTTAAAATTGTCCAAATCCACAAAAATTATAGAGAAATTTTATGAAATAACCATATCTTAAGGGGTGTTTCACCTTTTATCCATAAAATTTCGAAATTTGTAAAATGACCATCAGATCCGCAGAGGGTGCTCTGCGGATCCGTTTACCCTTCTGATGATCTTAGCACACCTCTGTGGAAATCAGGTGGCAGCACTAAATGACAAAATTTTTCGGGGGATTTTAGGGTTCAAAAGAGATGGCTCTGAAGATCGCTTAATTGCTCTGATGATCGATTAATGGCTCTGAGGATCTGTTCTTGAGCAAAACATAGTGTCAAAATCAACAAATCTATTTTTTTAATAATTTTTGTTACTTAATAATCTTTTTTAATAATTTTTGTTACTTAATAATCCTTTTTGCATATAAAATCAAAAGCAAATTAATAATAATTATAATAATAATAATAATTTCGCAGAGATGAACATCAATCCTCAGAGGGGGCTATGTGGATCTGTTCTTGAGCAAAACACCTCTACGGATCTGTTCTTCGCAGAAACGATATTTACATGGCAAAAATCGGGCCAAAATTTAGGATTTACTAATCAATAAACTATCATACATTCATACAAACTATCATACACCCTAACAACATATATTTAACTCAAAAAACGGACAATTACGTTTTCATATCTAAAAATTTGGCACTATGTTTTGCTCAAGAACATATCCTCAGAGCCATTAACCGATCCTCAGAGCCATAAGCGGTCCTCAGAGCACCCTCTACGGATTTGATGGTCATTTACAAATTTTCGCAATTTTATGGTTAAAATGTAAAAACAACCCTTAAGATAGGGTTATTTCATGAAATTTCTCAAAATTATATACATAAGAGTAAATTACACGAATGGTCCCTATGGTTTGGAGTAATTTACGCGTTTGATCCTAATTTATTTTTTTAAATCGGAAGGTCCCTACCGTTTGTTTTTGCTACGTGTTTGGCCCCTGTCTTACCTAAAAGGACTATTATGTCCTTATTTAAATAAATTAAAATAATCTTTTTAGGTAAGATAAGATAAGGTGGGGTTGGGGGTGGGGTTGGGGTGTGTTTATTTAAATAAATTAAAAAATCAAGGGCAAAATAGTCTTTTTAGGTAAGACAGGGACCAAGCGCGCAACAAAAGCAAACAGTAGGGACCTTCCGAGTTAAAAAAATAAGTTAGGGACCAAACGTGCAAATTACTCCAAACCATAGGGACCATTCGTGTAATTTATTCTATACGTAATCAAACACAAAAAGACAATTCTGAAGAAACAAGGGATCTTAAATTTCACATTGCCCCCTTAACCAATGCTATTTTCATTATGGCACTTAATTAATCATTAAGGTGATCTTGAAGCTACTCACTAAATTTTTCCACATCAATATGGCACACCCATCTTCACCGACCCACACAATTAATTAGGTTCTCATGTTTTCTAGTTTCTTTCTCAAAGTGTTCAGCTTCTTTTAACTGTAGTCTAGGGTCTCTTTATGGCCTCGAGCAATCACCAAGTCTTACATAGGACTTGATTTGTTTATGTCATTGTCGAATATAATAACCAAAAAACCAAACCCAAACCAAATTAACCAAAATAATGTTGTGTGATTTCTAACTATCAATAACACTAATATAGTTTTAAGTTTCAACGACATACAAGATATAGAATCACGTTTGGTGGTATTTTGTATCCAACGAGGGCACAATATGAAGGAATGAAGCTCATAAAAAGTAAAAACACATCATTCTACTTACAAGTTCAGCAGGGTTATCATTACATTAAAACACTTTCTCCCTGGTTTTTTTCAATACCATAAATTTTTCTCACAAACCAAATTTTAATTATACAATAAAACAAAAACACAACCAATATATATAATATGTATCCATCCAACTTCATATCTTCAAGAAAGAAGTTTGTTAAATTGAACTTACTCACTGTACAATAAAACCCTAAAATTCATTCCATCCATCCATCCATCCAACCTTTTCATTCATCATCATCTAACTCTACAATCTGTGCCCGCCGTCTTTCCGCCGCCTTCTTCCTCACGAAAAACCCCCACCTCATCGCCGCCTTAATCTTCAACCACCCAACCACCGCCTTCCCAGGGCGGCTCCGATCCTCATCAAAGAAATTCGGCGCCGGAGATGGGAGATACGCCGGAAAAGAAAACCCATCTTCCGCCACATTCCCACCACCACCACCGCCGCCGCCACCCATGCTGAACAGCTGAAGAAGGTGCTGCATGTCTTCATTTTCAAGCATTTCATGACTTCTCATCCGTATCTCCTCCTCCGACATAAAGTCACCTCCACCATGACCGCCACTTCCGCCGCCAATCCGGTTGTGGGACCAGTCATCAAAGGGGTTCATGGCCGGGAAAGATGAGGAGGGTTGTGGTGGGCCCAGGGCTAGCCCGGCTGACCGGCTATCGTACCCGTTGGTTTGCAGAGGGTTAGGGTTGCTGATGTGGCGATTGTTTGTAGTGAAATTCATGTCGTATTGATTGTGTGGGAGTTGTTGTTGTTGTTGGGTTTGGTACACCGTGTCAAGATTTTCATTATAACCTGAATTTATTTAAAAAGATTAATGTCATAATAAATATGCATTTGACCCATAAAAAGAATAAGTACATTTTTTTTACCTCCTAAAAGAAGATTAGAATCAACTGAGGTTGAATCTGAGGAACCCATGAGAGGGACACGTGGAGGCATTAGCTGATTATTTGAAGATCTTGGATACTCTATGGACCCCAATGAATATTCATTCCTTGATACATTTGACCTTTTTGACTGCTTAAAGCTCACAAGTGACTTCCCATCATACTCCACAACTTGGCTCCAATTATCGTACGCTTTCTTAACCAATGTATCCACATACACCTAAAAAGAGAAAAAATTACAGCATTGTATTTTTTTTAATTATAAAGAAAAATATGTAAACATAATGATACCTTTTGGCTATCTGAAAGAGAATCAACTTGTTGAAATTGGTCATTAGCAATAAGGCCACTCAGCTCATAAATATTGTTGAAAACAACACCAACGTTTCTTGAATCATCATGATAATATACATAAAGCTTCCCACTCAACACGCATGTTTTTGAATGCTCAACAAGAGCCTCCCACATCTTATTTGACATCCCACTTCCAAGAATCTAAAGAAAAATAAATTATTCATTGAAATCACAATATAATAATGCAATAAAAAATAATAATAACAAATACTTACATTGCGTAGTTTTTGGGCATCTCTAACAACAAGGCGAAGGAAATCTTCAACTGTAAAGATCCCTGCATTATTTAACCTCTTGTGGAATGATCCATCTTTCCCAATTTTCTCTAATCTCCATACCTCATCATTTAATGCAGGTGGATAGTGTTTCTTGTACACTATCAATGAGAAGAATGTTAAAAAGACTATAGAATTAAGAACAGGTTAAAAATTAAAAGATTTAAAAAAGAATAAGGCAACATACATTCGCCTCTATGGTCTTTAACAGTAAAAGCTTCAGTCTTTGCTTCACGTACACGAATCCCTTCACAAAAACCAGAAGCCACCTTCAAACCAAGTCTAAATTTCCTGCTTCTAATCCAACTTGAATTATCCGTAAAAGTCAACTCCCCTAAAGTTCCAACACCTTCTTTAAGCACCACCTGCAAATCTCCAGTCAACAATGGTCTTTTTCCTTCACGTTCTTTCACAACATGGCTATCAAACTCTTCTTGAGTCCAACCTTCATCATCTTCATTGTTGAAATCGCCTTCTAGAACAACAACGTCTAGTTTAATTGACGATTCTGCCCCTGATGTCACAACATGTCCGGTGTTGGCATCGATTAAGACTATGTGAATTGCAGCACCCTGTTCCCCTTCAACTTTGCCTCCAGTGAAGAGGGGTAAAGACATTCTTGACTTGAAGTGAAGTTGTAGGTTTCTACCATCTGGTCCTTCTAAACGCTTTGGGGAAGAAGGTCTGAAAAGAGTAAGTTGGTTTTTACTCTAAAAAGGGTAAAATTGTAATTTATTTGTGAAATTGTGTAGAAAAGTATTGTGATAACAAACCTTCCATTACTTAGTCGAGCAGGGCCTAGCTTTGCTAAAGCTCGCTCCACTTCTTCACTAACCTGTTCAATGTCATGTGAAAGACATGTTAATGTTAGTCATCATTTGCATTGACTTTTTTTATTTGACTTGTGACAAGAGTCAACAGAAGTCAAATATTTAAAAATGGAAATAAAAAAGGGGACAACTTACAACTCTGCGAAGAATAGGTTCCAAGGATGAGCAAAGTTTTTGGAGGCTATCCACCTTCAAAGCTTCCACAATAACACTGCATATACAATTATATATCCATCAAAAGTGGAATTCCTAAAGTTCTCCATAATAAGCACTTATGGAAATCCAAGAAGCAGATATTTAGAATATTGCATTATTTTGATATGTTCTTCATCAAAAGTGGAATTCCATTTAACATACCATGTTTTTATTCATAAATTTTGTTCCACAGTAGACTCTCTCTAGTCTCTATTATTGACACAAGATAGAAAAGTTTGTGCTTCTGCAAACTCATATCAACTATACATACATGGTAATCTCCTACAATTGGAAGTGATACACCATAAAGGGGAGGGTACCACTGTAAGAGGAAATAGAGAATAACTAAAGTAGAAAAAAATTATAGCATCCAACAGAAAAGTATACTAGAACCAACATATCTTTACCAATACCCCATAAATACACGTTATCCAACAAAAGCAATACACAACTTAACTATATCATCATCGACATGTTAAATCAAAGCAACGAACATGATATTATACTCAACACACTTACTTTTACATGCCAATTGCCTTAATTGCAAATTAGATCTCAACCCTACGCCATAACAAAAGGAAAACAAACTTCATTCCATACCTAGCTAAAGCCGGACGCTTCCGCTCCGGTTGCTGCTGCTCGTCTTCACCACCCTCCAAACCCCGCTTCCCTCTCTCCCTAATCGAATTCTTCCTCTCCATATTCCTCGTCTGCATTTCCTCCCAGTTTTTCAAAACCACAACACAATCTACAAAGCTGAAAACAGTAAATCAGAAAAAAACGAAACCCTAGAAATCGTCTTTCACGTCAAAGTACGAAAACCCCTAAATTCAAGTTAAATAGATGCGTATGTCATAAAATTCCGCATGATGATCGACAATCAGCGACATGTATTTATAGGTGTACCTAAATTAATGCAAACATACCTGTGAGATTTCGAAGTCACGTAGTTATTCTCTCTACTTTCTCTCACTAAAACACACAGTGACTACGGGTGTAGAAGAGTCTACCCTGACGACTAGCGAGTGTCGTAAGCTGTAATGCTTTCTTTCTTGAGATCTTTTGGTTGTGTGGGATTTTTAGCCGTTGGATCTGCGAGATGATCCGTACAATGCCACGTCAGATGTAGTGACTTTCGGCTCGGCTAGAAGCCAAATTTGGGATTCCGTGCCATATCACGGTGCTTCCCTCCCGTTCCCTATAAAATGTCCGGCCAAATTTGAGACTATTCAAATTCGTGTATAATATAGAAGTTGGTTATAAAATCCCAATTATTTGTTTATTTGTCAAAGTTATTTTTTTACAAAAAAAACATTTAATAGAATCACGTAGAAGTTAAGGTTAAAGGATATGAAGCTTGGAAGAGGCTGCACCACCACGGTTTAGGTGGTGCGGTTTCGGACTGAAGGGAGGCTACATTGTCTCCTCTTTTTTCACCTCATTGGTCAAAATATTCTTTTTTTTTTTTTGTTAAAACACTCCTCTCCCAAGTCCCAACTAGGGATGAGATTTAGAACAGGAAAAACGGATCGGAACCAGAATCGGACCGGAACCGGAACCATTATAACTGGAATATGTAGAACCGGTCCAGGTCCCGGGTCTAAAGAATGGATTTATTCGGGTTCCGGGTAATCTGGGTTTCGGGTCCTTCGGGTCCGGGTAAAAACCGGGTTTAAGAATCAGAACCGTGTTAGGAACCGAAACAGGTTTTAGGGGCCGGAACCGATTTTTATGAAAAGTTTAAAACATAAATATCTAATTCGTTTGAAGTCGGATTGACATTATGTTTTTTCCAGAGTGTAGTTTATAGATTGTAAATGATTTTAGACTATACTTTTGTCATTTTTGAGTTAATATTCATTGATTTACAGTCCCCCAAAGTCGGGATATCAAAGTTGTGAATTTTTTGTTTATCAGTTTTATTTTTTATATTTTGTGAAATTTTAAAAATGCATATCTAATTCGTTTGAAGCCGAATTGTTATGAGGTTTTTTTTTTGCAACGTGTAGTTTAGAGTTTGTAAATGATTTTAGACTATAATTTTGTCATTTTCGGTTTCATATTCATTGACTTACAGTCCCCCAAATTCAGGATATCAATGTTGTGAATTTTCTGTTTTTCAGCTTTATTTTTATGTTTTGTGCAATTTTAAAAATGCATATCTAATTCGTTTGAAGTCCAATTATCATGAGGTTTTTTTCAAAGTGTAGTTTAGAGTTTTTACATGATTTTAGACTATAATTGTGTCATTTTTGGTTTCATATTCATTGACTTGCAGTCCCCCAAAGTCGTGATATCAATGCTGTGAATTTTCTGTTTATCAGCTTTATTTTTATATTTTGTGAAATTTTAAAAATGCATATCTAATTCGTTTGAAGTCGGATTGTCATGTGGTTTTTTGCAACATGTAGTTTAGAGTTTGTAAATGATTTTGGACTATAATTTTGTCATTTTCGGTTTAATATTCAATGACTTACAGTCCCCCAAATTTGGAATATCAAAGTTGAAAATTTTCCAAGTTCAACCACCAAGGGCATGTTTGGCACGGAGCTTTTGGAAACGTTTGTGAGCTTCTAGCTTTTAGCTTTTGACAAAACGCTCTAGTTTAAACAAAAAGCTTCGTTTAGCTGTACGAGCGTTTAGCTTTTAGTTTAAACCAAACGCTCCAAATCTAAAAGCTACTTCATGTAGCGTTTAACAAAACGCTACTGAGCTTTTGAAATCAATTTTCATAATTACCCTTAAAAATATATTTATATATTTATTTATTTTTAATCAATTGCCCTTTTATGTAATTTTATATATTTCAAAAGCTTCCAGCTACTTTTGCCAAACACTCATATAACAAATAAAAGCTACAACTTCCCGCTACCAGCTACTCGCTACCTGCTTCCTGCTAACAGCTACTTTTGCCAAACACGCCCTAAGTAATTGCCAAAAAATTCTGGATTTTCCGGGTTTTCCGGTTCTAGACCCACATTACCCGGTTCCACCCGACCCACTTTAATGTTTCCGGGTTTTCCCGTTCTAGACCCACTTTACCCGGAACCGAACCGGAACTGGTTCCTATATACCGGTCCGGTTTCCGATCCTACAAAAATCTCGTAAAAACTATTCATGGGTTTTCCGGGTCCGGGTCTACCGGTCCGGGTTTGGACCCACTTTCATCCCTAGTCCCAACGGTTATAATTAGATAAAAAAAAATATTTTTTCCTTTTTTTTATTTTAACGTCTATCAAAGTTTATTCGTTTGGTTTGATTTATAGTTACATTAATTACGCTTAATTCATAACATATAATATATATATATATAGATATATATATATATATATATATATATATATATATGTTATGAATTAAGCGTAATTAATGTAACTATAAATCAAACCAAACGAATAAACTTTGATAAGAACTTTAATTGAGAAAAAGAATATTTAGAGAGAATATGAAAGTTATATCTCTTATAACTTTTTGGTGTGTTTCATTCTTTACAATGGAGGGGTATTTATACTACAAATTTTACTAACATATAATTGTAACTAGTTAGAAATGTTGACAAATTTACCATGCACCAATTATTATGCCATCCACCAATTATTTACAACACCACCAATTATTTACAACACTCCCCCTTGGATGACAACATTTTAGCATTCAACTTTGACGTACTGCCTCATTAAAAACCTTGCTAAAGAAAACCCAGTGGGAAAAAAACTTTAGCGAAGGGAAAAAGAGTGCAGTGTATAGTTGACTCCCCCTTATTTAGACATCTGTCACATTATATTCTATGCACATGTCGCATTCCGATGCCATGGACATGTTTCCTGAAGATTGCAGTAGGAAGTGCCTTCGTAAAAAGGTCTGTTGCATTGTTACTGGATTGAACATATTTGATTTCAACTTGATGGTTCTTTATAAGCTCTTGAGTGTACTCAAAAAACTTTGGAGGTATATGTTTTGTCCTGTCGCTCTTGATATATCCCTCTTTCATTTGAGTGACACATGCTGAGTTATCTTCATAAATTAAAGTTGGACATATATCTTTTTCAAGTCCACATGAAGTTAAAACTAGTTGTGTCATCGATCTTAACCATGTACATTCTCTACTAGCTTCATTTAGTGCAATTACTTCAGCATGATTTGAGGATGTGGCAACAAGTGTTTGCTTTTGAGAACGCCAGGAAATTGCAGTACCTCCATTCATGAATACATATCCAGTTTGAGATCTAGCTTTATGAGGATCAGACAAATAACCTGCATCTGCATAACCAATCAAGCCTTGTTTTGAATTGTTAGGGTAAAATAACCCTAAATCACTAGTTCCTCGAAGGTATCGAAAAATATGTTTGATTCCATTCCACTGTCTTTTTGTTGGGGCTGAACTAAATCTTGCTAGCAAGTTTACAGCGAAAGAAATGTCAGGTCTAGTACAATTGGTAAGATACATAAGAGCTCCAATTGCATTTAGATATGGTACTTCTGAACCAAGGACTTCTTCATTTTCTTCGCATGGACGAAATGGATCCTTGTCAATATTTAATGATCTAACAACATTGGAGTGCTTAAAGGATTTGCCTTTTCCATATTGAAACGTTTCAAGACTCTTTTTGTGTAATTTGATTGATGCACAAGTATTCCGTTAGGCATATGCTCAATCTGTAAACCAAGACAATATTTGGTTTTTCCAAGATCTTTCATTTCCAATTCTTTCTTTAAAAGTTCAATCACTTCAAGGATTTCTTTATTCGTTCCAATGATGTTTAGATCATCAACATAGACTGCTATGATCACATATCCAGATGTTGTTTTCTTAATAAATACACATGGACAAATAGTGTTATTTTTATAACCTTTACTTGTCAAATAATCGCTTAAACGATTGTACCACATGCGCCCAGATTGCTTTAAACCATACAAAGATCTTTGTAATTTTATAGAATACATTTCTTTGGGTTTTGCACTTAACGCTTCAGGCATTTTAAATCCTTCAGGGATTTTCATATAGATATCACTATCAAGTGATCCATACAAGTAAGCTGTAACAACATCCATAAGACGCATCTCTAAATTTTTAGATACTGCCAAGCTGATTAAATATCTGAAAGTGGTTGCATCCATTACCGGTGAATAAGTTTCTTCATAATCAATTCCAGGTCTTTGAGAGAAACCTTGAGCAACAAGCCTGGCCTTGTATCTTACAATTTCGTCTTTCTCATTTCTTTTTCGTACGAAGATCCATCTATATCCTAATGGTTTCACAACTTCAGGTGTGAGGATAATGTTCCCAAAAACCTTTCTCTTGTTAAGAGAATTTAATTTAACTTGCATAGCTTCCTTCCATTTAGCCCAATCATTTCTTCTTTGACATTCAATGACAGATTGTGGTTCGGGATCATCATTCATAATATCACATGCAACTGAATAAGAAAATATTGCACCTATATTGTCAGTTTCATTTTGGTCACATATTCTATTTGTCTGACCATAATTTAATGCATCATCCTCCTTTCCTGGGGGAATTTGAATAATTCGTGTTTCTCCAGGAACACTTTCATCGTGATCTAGTGCATTTTCTGCTCCTCTTCTTTTTCGTGGGTTCTTATCCTTAGAACCAAATGGCCTTCCACGCTTCAGGCGTGTTTTAGACTCTTGAGTGACTTTATCATCAGATTGTCCATGTGGAATGTCAATTCGAGCTGGAACATTGACAGCTGGTATATATGATTTAGTCACCCTTTTTGTGTCAGTAAATGCATCAGGTAATTGATTTGCCATTTCTTGGAAATGCATTATCTTTTGAACTTCCATGTCACATTGCTTTGTGCGAGGGTCAAGATATGATAAAGTAGGCTCATGCCATGACACATCCTTTTCCAGAATCTTCTTTTCTCCACCTAATGATGGGAAATTTGCCTCATCAAATTGACAATCTGCTAGGCGTGCTGTGAAAACATCACCTGTTAATGGTTCAAGATATCTTATAATAGAGACTGACTCATAACCAACATATATTCCCAACCTTCTTTGAGGACCCATTTTTGTCCGTTGAGGTGGTGCAATAGGGACATATACTGCACACCAAAAATTCTCAAATGGGATATATTTGGCTCTTGACCGAAAGCAAGTTGTAGTGGAGAATATACATGATATGAACTTGGTCTCATGCGTATCAATGATCCAGCATGTAAGATTGCATGGCCCCAAACAGAAACAGGAAGTTTGGTCCTCATTATCAATGGTCTAGCTATTAGTTGGAGACGTTTAATCAGTGATTCAGCTAAACCATTTTGTGTGTGTACATGAGCAACTGGATGCTCAACAACAATTCCTACAGACATACAATAGTCATTAAATGCTTGTGAAGTAAATTCACCAGCATTATCAAGTCTCACTCTTTTGATAGTATAATCAGGGAAATGTGCCCTTAATTTAATAATTTGGG